CCTGTTCATGGACAAACACCTGAAGCCACTGAGAACATTTCTGAAGGACATCAAAAAACTCTACAGAGGAAAAGTTGTTTCTAGCAACTTCCAGAATTGCACTGAAGCTAAAAAAGAGATCAATGATCATGTAAAGAATAAAACTCATGGGAATATAAAGCAAATACTTAAAGAACTTGATCCAAACACTGTCATGATAATTGTTAACTACATTTATTTCAAAGGTAAGTTACATATATACTACTTACTGCACAGCCTATTTCACCTGCACTAAATCAAATATCCCAGGTTATTTCTGAGTAACGTTTAAAAGAAAAGCAAGTGTTTAGATGAGACTATTGTGATAAAAAAAATATTGGAAGTTCTTACACTTTGAAACCTCTTCCACATCTATATTCCTCTAGCATACATTTAGACTTCTAGGCATAAAAGTACATGTATTTACAATCTTCAAGTTTTAGGGAATTGCCTGAGTACAACAGATTCATGCATTGTTAAAGTTTTCTGTCAGACTTTACCTACTTACTACTTTAAAAATTGCAATGTTTTCACATGCTGTATGAAGTAGACAACTAAATTCCAAAGATGTTAATTAACAAAAATTACCAAAAACTTTTAGTTACTTACAGTCCATGCCTATTAAATGGGTAGGTACCTCTGGAGTTGCAGTCTAAATGTTCTACAGCTTGCCATCACATTATACATATCCCAAGAGGTATTTGTGAATGCATTGCTTTGGTAATGATTAACTCCTTCTTAGATGTTATATCCATTTCTAGTAGCATGCAGGACATACATGGAATTTCCCACACAGAAAGGAATGTTTGGAAATAGCTGAACTTTCAGAAAAACAGATTTTATTGCAAGTACTTCACTAAATTTGTGTGCCCTCATCTCAAGTACCCTAGTCTGAGTACCATACTAGAGTATATTTTTTTCTGCAGGGCAAGGAGGAAAGCTCATCCTTACAAAGTAGGATGCCATGAAGTTTACATTCCATTGTTTATTTTTCAAATTAAATTTATTTTTATTCAACATTTTTTTAAAAACCCCATACTTGCAGAATGGCAAGCTGTAATCCCTATCTATTTGTTCAGAGAATGACCTGATTTAATAAACAATACCATAGAAAATTCAGTTGAATACACATCAAGAGAAAACCATTTTGAAGATTAAAGACCTTGAAGCCCTGTTCCATTTACCAAAATGCAGTCATGTTCAGGCCCAAAAGTTTGGGTTGCTCTTCCATGTAAGCTTTTTCTTAGTGCTACAAGGAGCTCAACGTGCTGCCTTATAAAAAGCAGACATCTGCTGTGAAACTGCTTTACAAGTAATAATCTGAAAACAAACAGCAACTCATTGGAACCTGATTAGCTTTCATTTTCTTCAAATAAAACGTCAGAGAATGTGAGGAAGTTACTTCATTTAATTTATCTGACTTAGAAAGAAGTTGTAGAAGTCCATACAGAACTTATCCTGGAATATTTATAGAATCACAAAATCACAGAATAATCAGAGTTGGAAGGGCCCTTTGAGGATCATCTAGTCCAACTGCACAGGACATCCCCAACAATCACACCATGTGCCTGAGAGTGTTGTCCAAACGTCTCTTGAACTCTGCCAGGGTTGGTGCTGTGACCACTTCCCTGGGGAGCTGTTCCAGTGCCCAAATACCCTCTGGGTGACTTTAATTGTTACTAAACATAGTACAGCACAGAAGACAAAGAACAAGATCTTTAATAATCTTGGAATGCCTTTTACCTTCAAGTATGAGTCTATAACTTCTGACATGGGTTTATCTAATGTACATTAGTCTGGACTATATTAATACATCCTCCTTGAAATAAGCATTCAATTGCATTCTTTCTCTTCTGCTTTTAAGCTTACTGGGAAAACCCTTTCGATATCAAGGGAACACACAAGGATTATTTCCATGTGAATGCGAAGACCTCAGTGGAAGTGAAGATGATGACACGAGATGGATTTTATAAAGCATACACTGACAGGAAGCTGTCTTGCAAGGTGGTGCAGATTCCTTACAAGGGAGATGCTGCAGCACTGTTTATCCTGCCCAATGAGGGAAAAATGAAACAGCTGGAACACGCTCTCACAGAAGAGACTGTGTCTAAATGGGAAAAATCACTTCAAAGATGGTAAATATAGAGTTTTGATTTGATGTTTTGAGGTAGTCAGAATTCAGCCTGAGTACCATGATCAGGATTTACTTTTACTAGCCTGTGGTGTTGATGGGAGATTTAAGCAATGGGATAAGCGTAAAGGGACAGACCAAATGATTTGATACTTACCGCAAAGATTAGAATAGTCATTGTCTTGTGATAAGGGACGAGATCTATGACCCAGGAAATTTAATTTTTTCCTCCCATACATTTTCTAGTTGATATTGTCTTATTTCCCATGTCTCACACATATTATGTTAGGAGTGGTAATACTGTGACATAGCAGTCACATCCCTCAGAGAGAATGGGGTTTGAATTCCAAAAGAAAGATCTTCAAGGCTAGACAAAGAATGCAAACTTATTCCCAAAAACACTGGCAGCACCACTGCTTGCTGTCTCCTCAAGTGACTGTGTCACAGAATCATACAAGAAGACCCAACCAAAGTCTTTCTCCTTCCATCTTTTCCATCCTGCAGACCATCATCTTCCCATCTTCTTTTTCTTGCCATCTTTTTTAGATGTAAAGACTAATATTTTAGCACAGAAGAACCACCAGCAAGTTGGGAGTCCAAGGTATGCTTGCATTGCAATAACTACCATAATTTTCTTTTGAATTAACAGGAGGGTAGAAGTGCATATTCCAAAACTATCAATTTCGGGCACCTATGACTTAAAGAAGATGTTAATGAATCTGGGTGTAACTGATGTGTTTTCTGACCGGGCTGATCTGTCTGGAATCACAGGAAAGCCTGATGTGAAGGTTTCAAAAGTAAGTTTGTCAGCAGAAACAATGGTCTGTGGATCCCTCTATACCCTATTGCCTTACCCTACACTAAGTTGTGAAATTTTGCTCATTGCTAGGGCTGTCTGAAACTCTGGAATAGAACATTTAGCTGATAGAGTCACTTTAAACTCTCTCTGACTTCTCCAGGACCTGGAGATAAGGATATTATCTTTTGTCTGGCAGGCAAAGGTGGGGGGTGGGTGTGGAGGTGGCTGTAGCATTTGGCCCCAACACTAAATAGCACAATTTCTGCATGTGAAAGAAGTGCCCATGGATAACTGTGTTGGGGATGCCTTGCATCAGCATATCTACTGGAAAAAAAGTGGCCTTTTTCTAACATGCATTCTACAATTTTAAAGTATTTAAAAACTGCTGCTACCATTGAAGGCTCTGATGAGTGCTTATAATGCAACATGGACCAGACTTGAGGAAAACAACCAATTGGCTAAAAAAAATATGAAGAGAAGCAGATAAAGACTAGCATTCTTACAGCCATTATGTTCTAATGTTCTAACATTTTGGGGCTAGTAAACGAAAAATATTACAAATGCCCAACAATAATTTAACAAAAAGATCGGTATCCAGGTTGCATTTCTACTAGCTAAACTGTAATGCTTGTGCCATTAGGAATATATACAGAGTGTAACTGGAGCCCAACTTACTTTCCCTTTGAAACTGCCATTCCTTGTGAATTTGCTTGACTATTTTACTTTCAATTCATTTCCCAAGGTGTGCAGTTGCTAAGGTCTGCATTGGGCACACTTATGCGGAGGATCACTGAATGTCAGAATACTACTTTTTTGAGGCAACTAAAAACCCACCACAGGCTACAGCATCCTTCTTCTTGGTTCTACCCACAATTTTTGTGAAAGACGGTAACTGAACTAGTGTTAATTTGAATCATTTCACACCCCATCCTCCACACACATTAATTAATGTATTTTATTGTAGGCTGCTCACAAGGCTGTGCTGAAGATTCATGAGAATGGCACAGAGGCTGCAGCAGTCACTAGCACAGATTTTCTTCCTCATTCTCTTCCTCCTGTTATAAAATTCAACCGTCCATTTCTGCTGTTGATTGTTGATCGATATACTCAGAGCATCCTCTTCATGGGAAAAATTGTAAACCCAACTGAAAAATGACTGGTCAGTGCCTGGATTGCATTTTATGCAATTAAAGTTCATTGTGATTAAAATTATATCAAAGCAGTTACTAACAAGCTTTTTTTTTCCCAAAGAAGTCAGGCAAGAGTGTGGTAATTCTTAAAAACACCGTTCTTGCTTCCTCCTTCAGTAGAACGTAACCTCTGAGATACACCTATTAGTGAATTATGAAGAATTTTGTACATCAGCCTTTTAGTGATCAGTGCCATCTTTGAAAAGCAAAGGTATTTATCCAGCTAATAAAATCAGTTTAAAACACTTTAAGAAAATAAAGTTTGAATCAAGAGGCCATGCCTGACTTTGGGGTAGGAAGGAACTAAAGTGCTGAGGTTTGCTGCAGCAGCTGCCAGTTCTCCCAGGACCTGGTGCTGGAGGGCTGACATGGAAATTTAAAATACAAGTGCAGTCCACTCAGAAATACCTTAGTTCTTCTCTTCCACATGGATGCCATTGATGAAGAAATGTCATGTTTTATTTCCATGAGAAAATGGTTGGTTTCCTATCTAAGAATGTCTATGTCAATTCAACACCTTTCTTCTAATGCAGGCTTATGGATTCAGGACAATGTCAAAATCCAGAGACAAGACTTGGCACTTGGGGAAATCTGGAGCACCAGGAAAAGAGATGCATACTGACAGAAACAGCCAGTCTGACGTGGTCTCAGATTGGCTCCCTCTCTGTTCCATCCTGTGGGATCTACAGCAGATGTTCAATAGTGATAAATGTATTTAATGCTGCTCAGGGGTATAGTCACAAAAGCTTAGGATAAAGAAACCCAGACCCTTCTCAGTCTAATGAACCTTATTAGCTAGCATTGGATCCGAAATGCTGACAAGGATTTTTGCCTGGAAGATGAAAATACAGACCTGCCCTTCCATGGATTGAGAATAGGTTTGGTGGATAAATCCCAAAGAATTCTCTGCAGGCTACACTGTTAATTAGGTGGCAGCTAAAGCAATAATAGCCCCTGACATTGGTAGGGTTTCCAGTAAAGGGAGGTTGGTCTCTTCTCCCAGGCAACCAGCAGTAGGACAAGAGGACAGAGACTCAAGCTCTGCCAGTAAAGGTTTAGGTTGGATATTAGGAAGAGATTTTTATGGAGAGAGTGATCAGGCGTTGGAATGGGCTGCCCAGGGAGGTGGTGCAATTTAAAATGTGATGCAGGTTACTGTGGAAGCATAGATACAGTCCATCATCTATATCTCCCCTCCTCCTTAAAAATATTCAAACCTAGATTTTTGTTATGATCCAGAAACTCTGTCACTAGTTCAGGGACCTGATAGTTTTTTGACAGTTAGCAAGTTGCTTGCTAGGTGTGGTCTGACACCGCAAGATGAAACAAGCTGACAGAAAAGCGCCATTGGAGAGTCTCCCTTGGTAGGTGGATCACCTTTTTGAGAAAGGCTCAGAACCCAAGGCCAGTGTCATGCAGTTGTCCTCCCATTGACTGTGCAGAGGTAGGCAGAGATGGAGGTGATTATGTGCATAGCTCCCCACTCCTCAAATCTGACAGTGACGTTAAATAAAGCAGACCACAGCGACAGTAATACCACTGCCCAACTAGTGCTGAGTCAGAGAGATATAACCAGATCCCAGGTGATCAATCCATTCTCAAAGACAGTGCCAGACAGAAGAGAAACTCATATTTTTTGATTGCTAAAAATTTTTAGAAATTGTTTTCCTGTCAAATCAGAAAGACAAATGTTGCCGTAACCTGATAAAGTGATAACTATAGAAGTCCTCAAAGGGCCAGATGGATGAATTTAGGAGTTCTTTCTGGCATTGTACCCAGATATGAAATCTATTTACAATTAGATCAAGAAACTTTGAACTGACTTTACGTTTTATTTACCCATGACTGTATGCAATGCTCCTTTGCTGCATGTGAGCCTGTTAATGGACCAGTGGCCACAAGTAGTTAGAGCAGTAAGAATGACAGGAGCAGCAGCCCCCAAAATGGAGATCCTTTTGGGCCCTTCCAGTGAACAGTCCTCAGAGACATGCAAGAATGTTTTCTTCTCCCTGATCAGCACATCTGCTGCTTTTGCTCTGCTCATCCTGGTTTCCAGAGCCACCAGCCAGGCTCAGGTGCTGGGACTGCACTTTAACCTCATCAACATTCAGGAGGACACAACACCTTTCAGCAGCAGTCCCAAGCACTGGACAGACCAGGAAGCCGCAGCAGGCAATCAGGTGTGGAGAGGTCATTGCCAGGAGCAGTGCAGGAGATTCAAATGGGTCCAAGGAGCACAACTGACCAGCAGTGCAGTCTGTCAGGAGGACATGGTGTGTTGGTTAGCACAGGCAGAGTGGGCAAGGAAGGGCTCCTCTCTGACCATCCAGGAGCAGTGAATAGAAACAGCAAATAAACCCAGTAGCAGGTGAAGGAGGTCACAAAGGTATCTCTTTGACTCCCAGTCTTATTGGTGTCCCACCTCTCGGGTATGGTTCTGACATGCTGCAGAGCTCATTCCCTTGTTGCAGCTAGAGACAGTGCACCAGGCATGTCTGTTGTCTCCAGACAGACAGACCATCTGATGGAATATGTAGCTATCCAGGTCTCAGGTTGCCAGGAGTGCCTGAAACCTCTCTGTGAGGTTGGGACCAAGTCATTCCTGTTGTAGCAGGTATGCTGTTGTGGGGGAGCTGTCACCAGGTGAAGAAACTACAGGAGGAAGTGAATAGGCTATGCAGTATTTGGGAAAATGAGCAAGAGATAGCTATTTCTCAGGGACATTACAGTCTCAGGAGTCTCAAACCTTCTTTGTAGCAGAGAGTGAGGTGGACCCAGAACCCTGTCAGGCACTTAGTCAAGGGTCTGTTGAACAAGAAGGCTGGAAACTGATCATAGCCTGTACCAGGAGGAAGGCTCCTCCCTCTTGAAATCTTGAAAGTGAAATGCAGAAAAATGATGATTTTTGAATGGTCTTGGGAATCTGAAGATGTCCCACTGTTATAAATTGTGGCTCAATAAATTGGCAGGAGCCAGTTCAATTAGGAGATTTTATTGATTGAGCAAGGCTTCAGCAAGCCAAACAGCACTGGGCGGCCGGGGAGTCTCAGCCCCGCCGACGGCGCACCCCCCTCCCACAG